CACAACCATAGCCCCACTCATTTCTCAAGTTATTTCACAACAATGCAAATTTTTGAGACCTCTATTCTTAAGCTGATCCTCGGAACTAACGCGCAAAGACTGCCTCTACCTGAACATCAAGCGCACGCAGCGTCAGTTCGGCGTCAAGCTCTTCGACTAAAAAGTGATAAGCCAAATAACAAATTCGATAAATTATTAATTCAGTTTTATTTATCTACCAGAACATCAAGCGCACGCAGCGTCAGTTCGGCGTCCAGCTCTTCGACTTCATCCCTACGAGTTTCGTGCGTCGCGGGCGGCGCCCTTAGGATCGAATTAAAGGGATGCGACATGCCTGGTGAGATATATTTACTCGTAATGCCTTGAATAATCATAGATCTTTTAATTATATCTATTAAGATGGATGAAATCTATTTCATTTCAAATAACAGAAATATTATTGCCCACGGACCACCGCGAGCTCTGCGAGACGCACCTCCGTGAACGCGGCACTTGGATTGTCAAACCCGTCGTATCTTCTCAGGGCAAAGGCGTTTAAACTTCATATCAGGGCAAAGGCATTTAGACTTATTCTCTAGGCAAAGGCGTTTAGGTTTCGTCTCGGTTCAAAGGTGTTTAGGTATCTTCCCGAGCATGGGAATTGACTCTTCATCTCAAGGCAAAGGTGTGATAAACCTGGTTTATCAGGTAGAGCTGTTGTACAGTTCACATATCCACCTTTATCAATAACATGGATTTATATGAGCTATAATGTATGTAGACTTTCATGCCCCTAACCTCGACGGAAAACGTCTGTGAGCACATGGAGCGAAAATTTTAGTCAACGATACATTCAATCTATGATTTGTTGATCTTACTTTATTTACATTCTTCGGTAACCCCCTGAGGCTTTTCATGTTCTTTCTTTGTTGTTTTCTATGCCGCTTTTTTCTAAATTTTACTTTAATAAACATAAAATTTAAAAATGCTACATTGATGAATTTTTGATGCTTCAAATGGTATTAAATACACTTTACTTACAAATGAATCAAGTTCCGCCCGTCCAAGTGCCTCTACGTCGCCGTGACCTCGCTGGATTACTCACAAATATCTTGATGCACAACCAAAATAACATCAAAATGTTTAATGATACCAATCGCTCGGTGATAGTTGTAACGATTATGTTGTGTGCAAATCGGGCCACTTTAACAACTTTTTATGGCAAGTTTTGTAGTGCTCATCATAGCTCCTGGTAATTTAATTCATTGCCGTTCAGAGCATTCAGCTAATTTTTCTCCTTTTGAGTCTGTTATACATGTGGCTATGTCGCCTATGTAATAGCTTGAAAAGTCAAAATAATATAATTAGAAAATTACGTTTTTTTCGGAAGAGCAATACAATATAAATCCATCTTGATAACAGCAATAGGAAATTAATCAATCTTACTAATAGTGAAATTAATTTACACTTCAGAATGTTAAAGGTTTACGTTATAAAAGAAAATAACTAACCGTTCTAAAACAGGCATCCATTTATGTGATTATTATTAGGTCAGATTCTGATAATAGCACCTATAGCTATTTTAACAATAGTATCAACAAACGAATCACACTTTAATTCAAACGCGTATCTCTACTGGATGGTGAGGTATAATTTAAGCTCAAGTGGTTAATTAAGAAATCATAACGCGCTATTTTGCAAACTTTATTTCAGCCGTAATGGCCTCGTCAAGGAAGTGTCACTCATATTATAAGGTCATCCGACGGTTTGTTTGATTAGGAGCAACATTAAAAAATCCAGTTTATTATTATCATCGTTAAAAAAATTTAAAATCAAATAAAAAATAATCTGTCCATATCCAACACAATTCCGTTAGAATTCCTAACGGGGTAATTGTTAACTCCAAATGCCATTTTATAGCAAAAGAGTTGAATAAATAATAGAATTTTTCTGAAAATATAAACCAGATATCATTGCATATATGATATATAATCAGTTTTTGCCATTGTTATAATCAGCAGCCAGTGATGTTGAATAGAATAAGTAGAAAATGAAATTCGGGAGTAAATCTCCATTACAGCAACAATCTTTCTTGGGAACCATCAGCCAAGCCGCGAATGTTCACCGCCTGAGCCCCCGTAGGTCACTTGTTTTGAGCAGAAGCAACAGGGAAATATTGTTCGCGTGAGCAATAAACCCGATCTGATCAACATTTACGAGTCTTTCCAACAATTTCTCACTACAATGAATACATTCATCATCTCGCATAGATGCTAAGAATTCGGCAAAGTGTTATTCATTTATTCATGCTTTAATATGGCTTACGAAGTTAGAACGATGCGACCTTTATTGTATCCCTGCTTAGTTGCACCCACGTATCGGTTTCACACTAAATTTAATCTTAAATATGTATGTGGCTTATGACCAAGCCACCACAGGTGTAGGTCGTCTTCGTATTCTTCATTAAATCCAATATAAAGCTGGAGATAAAGATTGAGCCAAAAAATCTAGCCAGTACTTTTCATCCCCGTGATCAACCTTAATTAGTCAACCAAGTATAGGTAAAGTTCATGATAAAAAAAAATATAAAATGCTGAAACACAGACAGCAAAAGTCAACTCAATGCTAAGAAAATAAAAAAAAACAACAGCATGGAATTTAAAAGCAAAGAAAACGCCAAGAAAATTCACCATATCGATATTGAAAACGTTTCGGAGTCCAGCTCCATCATCAGTTCGACTAAACTAAAAATGAATAAAATCACTTTAAAAGTCAAAATTCAAAGACAGACATAAAACCTAAACAAGACCTAAC